AACCTCCAAGTACAATTGTGGATGGTATCTCCTGCTCTCACCCCGTGGTAAAAGGTAGCAGCTACAGCGTTTGTACAGAATCACATACCAAGAGTTTTCTGCAAATGTCACTACCGCTATCATTTCTGGCCTGGGTATTTGCAGCTGAATTTCTGAATCTTATCCCTGAATCGCTCTATCTCGCTCTTCCTCTCCCAAGCTTGAACATCTCAAACCGCATCATGGCCATTGCCTCCTAAAGTCTTGCTCTTACTTCTTACGACACATGGTTGCCCAATGATTGCCTGCAAACCGCCGTGGTAGTGCTCGTATACCGGCTTTGCTCCGGCAACGCTCACCTCAGAAATCGCGGGCACTTCTGCTCGGCTTGCGGTCTGCTGTCACAAGAGTCCCTCTGTCCGTAGGGCCCCTTTTGCCCTAAACCCCAAAACCCTACCCTACCGATAGGGCCCCACCCTTTTGTGAGAAACCCCCAGTTGCATGCGAGCATCACTCTGCATCATCAGCACCGCAGAAGTGGTAGTCAGCTTCTGCTTGAGAGATCCTGAGTAGCCATTGCCTCAGCGCAACAGCATACGAAGCTATCCAGCGCAGCGTTTGCAAAAATGCACGGAGACGGATGGAAAAGTTAAGAGACTCCTGGATACATGGCTGCTTTGGCAGCTGGATTTACATGGGAAACAGCTGAGAGACAGCAAGTGCATGCCTATCGCTTCAGTGCAGAATGGTAGTTGCAAATGACTTCCTGCCAAGCATGGTGCCTGGAAGGTCCAACAAGTATCGCCAGCGCGGCCACCTCAAGGACAGCTGCAGCAGCACCAGCAATGTCTGGGCATGCCCTTGCAGAGCTGTGCATACGTGAGCTAACCAGGCCAGGAGTTCAAAATGGGCCCAGTAGTGCAGGTTTAGGCCCCGTGCTTCAAACCTCGACTCCTGAAAAAGGACGTCTACTCTTGAAGTTCAGTGTAAAATACTACAAGTAATGGTGGCAAGATGCCAGCAGCCAGCCTGCTAGTTTGAGCTCTGAAACGGCCCGCGCTCCGTGTCGCCAGCCGCCCCGTATCACAACTTGCTGAGGTCCAAATGCATCTGCTTCAAGACTAATGGTCACCGCTGTTCCTGCTATGTTCTCTTGTTATACAGTTGGCTTTTCCATGGCGTCCTCTTTGCAAGTATCAACGTTGGCACTGCTGCCAGGACGCCGTGCTCAAACTACTTCAAACTTTAGGTCTGAGCGTTTTCTTGGAATGGCTGCCGCACATGTCATGGGTAGCAAGGTAGCATTCCTATTGTTCTCACTCACTCTATGTTCAGCCCCCGGCTTGTCAAGGGGGACGAAGCTGGGGTCAGTGTTGACCTTGTGCAGATCAAGTCGGGCTTTCTCTTTGGACCCTCTGTGGTAATTTCTCGAAACATGTGTAGGTAAGATGAAAACATGCAAGTCGCATGGAGGGAGCTGCAGGGATCCAGGGAATCCAAGCGGACATCTGACACGCCCTGCAGCAAGAAAACAAACGAGGTCCCGGCCACAGTCGCATTCAGCAAATCATCTTCCAGAAAAGCCACATCCTTCGTACCAAGTCAAGCCCTCATGTCCCGGAGTGGGGGCCTCCTGCTGGGTATCTGTGGCTCTGCTCGCGCACTCAGAGCCAATGATTCTGAACCACGAGTACGCACACACCGAGATGTTGGCAAGCCGGGCGCCCCTTAGCCCGACACGAAATTTGAGTCGCTTGACCAAGAATCCAGGAAGCGCTTCCTGTCACAGCGATAGCGGGGCAGTTTTCCTACCCGGAGCCTGATGCCAGGCTGCAGGCCCACACCCCAGCGGCTGCATCTGCAGGTATACAGAAGCGCAAGTAAAATAAGTGTACCTAAGACCCATACTCAACACTTCTTTTCTAGGACCACCTCCGCCTAGACATTCCTATTAGAGTCCTATTGCAAGTTTTGCATGGATCTCCCCAAAACTTGCTGTCCCTTCACAGCGTCCTGGGGGAGCCGCGGTACATGTCACGCAGCTCCACGGCCTGGAGATACTACTGGCTGGTTGTTATTCGGGATATGGGTGGTTGTCAAAAATATGGTCCCTTTTGGAATCCCTATTATAATACGGCACCTAATATTTAGGGTATCCAAAATGGACCAGAATTTTGACAACCACTCATATTAATTAGAGAATGGGAAATGAAACATGACTGGAAAGCCAAGTAGTTAAATGGAAGCTGGGGGCTGGGAGTTCAGAGGTTATGCACAGGGCGTCAGCTTAGGATTGAGGGTGAACTTGCTGGCTGTTAGTGGGGAGCGAAGGGATGAACAAGAAAATGGAAGCGGTTTAGGACTCAGGGTGGTAAGTAACGGAATGAAGGAATGAAAAGAGGAAAATCGGGGTCATACATGGGCTACTAGAGAGATCCCTTCCCACATTCCTTACTAACAACTAGGCTCTTCGCCGACGTCAGAGATAGGCCACGTAGGAAAACCGAGCCCCGCACTGCACGACTGTTGCAAAGACTGCAGGGGCTGCTTCTTACACCCTAACCTTCCACCATGAATGTAAAACGGCTCCGGTTCAACTTCACCCTGTGCGTTTTTCCATGGGTGCATGCTTTCGTGAACACCCGAGCCCGAAACCAGGAATTCTTTCAGAGCTCCCTAGACGTTGAGATACCCATCTTCCCGCTGGCAGAAATTAATTGTTCCTCGATGGCTGTAAGGTCCGGGCCCAGTTCACGGCACCGCGGTCTGTTCCGCGCCAAAATGCTATGGGCGTCTTAGTCTCCCACGGTATGGCGGACATGCCGGACCTGCAGAGTGACGAGAAGTGTGCTAAATTTCATCTGCAGATCAGGAGCTCCCTAAGAACTCCCCATTATGGTTAGGCCCCAGGTGGCGAAAGAGGCTGAACCACTGTATCCCCATGCGCACTTATGCTTCCTAGAATCTACATGCAAGCAAACCCAATCACCTACAGTTTAATCAGTAGTAATTACCCCTAATTCATAGCTGTAACCCAGAAAACTGTAAGTAATTGAAGTAATCGGGATAACCCGTAAAACTGTAGGTAATTGGGGGTACAGGTAAACCCCACATCTGAAGCCATGAGCCCACCAGGGACTGGACATGTTAACCAGCGCTGGCCGACAAACCTTCGGGCCGAATGGATGGTTTAGGGTCTATAGGGTTTAGGGGTTTCCAAACATAGTGGCCCCTTTCTGGATCCGTATAATCTGGCCCCCAACCATTCAAAATTAGGGCATTCAACATAAGGGGAACATAGTCTTGACAATCGTCCTATAAGGGCCTCAGGAAGCCGAATAAAGCTTTGTTAAGAAATGAGGCACAGGATACCAATAAGGCTCTGTAGTATAAGGGTTATCAGAAGACGGAGTTGTAGGATTCCTACATCCCAGGCAGCCTCTGAAAAATTTGATGAGTAGGGGATAAAATGCCTGCCTCTACCTCGAGGCTTGCACCATTCTGTTTGTCGGGGACCTTACCAGCCTTAAAGCATAATATGGAATCTGAGGAATTGCAGGAGAAACTCTCAGGTCCTTCAAAAGAACTCTGTATTTTTTGGAGGCTTTTTTTGAGGGGCGAGATTCTGTGCACAGTGGCTCTGAGGCTTCAGCGTTGGGGAACAAGATGTCCCAAAAGTCTTCGGACGCACAGATGCTGAAGAGGGGCGCAGGGGTCCTGGCCTTCACAGGCTTGACCGTTGGCAAGCAATCGTGGAAAACGCGAAGAAGCATCCAAAACCCTGATCCCATGTGAACCCTGACGTGATACAGTTTAGGAGGTGCAAGTTTCACTCGGTCGTGCTGAGATGTGAGAGTTTGCGCATGGCCATAAGGTTTGTTTACAGGTCTTGGTGGCATGGGTCTTCAATCAATTCAAACATGTGGCAGCTATGACAGCCATGAGGCTGAATAGAGAACACACAAGCCCCCCCTCCACACCCTGTCACCTCTTTGTCCATGGGCCCATAGAAGGGAGGCTTTGCATGCTCCTTCCTGACAGGGACTTTCCGGCACAAGTTGATTACTACTTTCGTTCATTTACTGTCCTTACTTTTCCTGTTCATACCGTCATGGCCCATGGCTCAGTTGACAGCCGCATTGACGCAGGATATTGAAACCATAACCATGACTTTGTTAACAGGCAGGGGTCTTTGTCTGGTGCGCATGCACCTACCGCCTACCTCCTTCCCTTTCATCCTCCACCTCGGCTCTTTTACCCTTTGCGACACTTGGAGGTTTGTTGGCAGTAACGGTTGTGAGTACACAAGTTACACTAGTTTAGGTCATGCTATAACTACGTAGGGGTGCGTGCAGGGAGCTGTAGGTTGCCTTGCTGATGTGCGTCTCAGCCCCAAGCTTCACCGGTGTCATGGTTGATGGGGCAGGGGTGAGGGTGGAACAGCAATGATCATGTCAAACGATCTTTCGAAGCTCTAATTATACCTGTCCTTCTGCTATCGACACGACATATAGCCGCGTATGAACCTCCAAGAAAGGCTGCGTCCTCAGCAATGGCAAGTCACCGTGGTTCAGGACGATGTCGAAATCTGGCAGGTCCACAGCAGCCTGGAAGCAAAACGGGTTCACCACAAACATAAACCTATTTGAAATCTTGGCCCTCCTCTGAAGACACTAGAGTCACTGTAATTGAGCTGGCTGAGTTTCGGGCGATAAGATTCATAAACCTGGGCGCACCGCACAATTCAGGTTGCATCTGCCAGTGTCAACGCTGTGAAATCATGCTGTGAAATCATCACTGTCGGCAAACGCAGAAGCGAGCACGCCCAACTTGCAGCCAATTCCAACGCGCTGTTTTTTCTTGCCGCGGCCGTGGCACATTGCCATGCTGCTTCACGCTCAGCCGAGGCACTTGCTTTGAGAAGCCCTCGATAAGATTACTACGCTATGCTGCTCCAGCATCGACTGATGGCCCAGGCCGCAAAATCACTTTGGGCGCGAGTTTGGGAGGCAACGCAGCTCTCACCGGAACCGGTCCCACAGCGACATGCCAAGCTCGACACCACCGAACGTCGCGGAGTTGACGACGAATGCTCGCTGCATGGCGGCGCCGAAGCCGCGCAGGAAGAAGGCGCCACCCTCACGCGCCAGGCCTTCAGCCACCACATGGCGCACGGATCGCTCTGCGGGAGTTGCATGGATCGGAAGGCTCTGGATCCGGGCCTTCACCACATCCACTGGGTGTATCATACCCAGGGCAAAGCAGCCTGCAAGGCCCCCAGATGCCAGCGTGGATAGCACCATGGGGACTTTTGGGTCCAAACGGCGCCGGGACTCTTGGTATACTAAGAAATAAACCCCATACGAGGGGCACTCCTTCACAGCAGTAGCCTCCAATCCTTGCAGGAGGCCGTGACGCAAGCCCAGCGTTTGGATGCGCTCTCGTAGAATGGTTGCGGGCGTAACGCCACTTCCCTCCGCTCGTGGCACAAATTGCACTTGCCGCTGGGTCTTCACCAGGTCCACCAAACACACCAGCGGGCTCTGGGCCAAGCCTGCAATGCAGCCAGCCAAGAAGCCTGTCATGGCTGGGCGCTCCTTGCCCAAGGCATCCTGCAGCAAGCGCTCTGAGACGCCTTCGGCACAAAAGACCACAGCATTCACCAACGCTGTGCTGAAAAAGGGCACGGACATACCCCGGTATAGGGCCCGGAAGCCCTCAACACGCGCTGTGTCGCTGAGCACACGCCAGGTGCCATAGCCCTCAAAGCGGGCCATGGCTTGGATACGAGTCTTCGCAGTGTCCAGTGGATGACCGGACAGTATGGCTATCATTCCCCCAACCGTGCCACCAAAGAAGTCTCTTGCCGCCGCCTCAGCCATGGGTGCGCGGGGAGCTGTTCAGGCCTTGGCCGCCTGCGGCTCTCCCCCGACCCCCCCCCAAACTAAAACCCTTTTGAGCCTAAAGGTTGGCAACACGGGCAAAGGAAGGAGCGCATCGCCAAACGACTCCAATTAAGCAGAACCGTGAAACATCAGCTTCATGCAGCTGCTATCATAACCAAGCATAGCAGTACATCAATGCAACCTGGCAAGACCACGCAGGGACAAAACCCGCGGGTATGCTGCGGAAACTTCATCCCCTGATCTGAAACCCGAAACAAGGCAAAGATGAGTGACGCTCAGGCTATTATCCGCAGGTCGTTCCCGAAGCTCTGAAACTAACACCGCAGCCTCTGCCTCGACATCAGGAAAATCAGGATTGGCAGCAAGAATCACCCATGCTGAGCCTGACACTGAAGGAGAGGCCTGGTGCTGGAATCTATCCCAAATCATGCTTCTAAGCCATTCTAAGCGTCCAGGCCTCTTCACCCGATAAATACATTGCCCAGCCATATTGGCGATGCCAGACGCTGCAACCTCAAGCCTCAAAAGAAGTTGTCCAGAAGTTCTCAAGCCTCTGTTTATACTAGTAGATGGAATGCCTCAAGAACCCAAACCATCTTCAAACCTGCTCCAGGCTTCCAGACGCATGTGCCAAGCAAGTTGGCTCCGTCGCCCCGAAATCGACCTCCAAGTGCGAATGCTCCGGTATCACCTGGCCATGCAGTGTGGGTGGAGGCATGTGTAGCATTCAGGCGTGCAGGGTCTGCTGGCTTAAAAGAACACATGAAGCTTGGGACTCTGGGCATGCGAGGCATCGCCAAGCGGAGATGTTGTCCAAACACGCGCGGAACCCTGGTACACCAAAATAGCGTAACTGTGTAAATGTCGCCATGATGTAAACTTTACCTGAGCAGGCGAAGAGAGCCTTCAGCGGGCTAACGGAAACCCGCCTGTGAATGTATTTCCGTCCTTAATGCGGGAGTTTCTCTGGGGATACCTTTGGGACCCCAGTGGTGGAATGGGCCCATGAGGGAATTGCAGAAGTCATTGACAAAGATCATATGGAGAAACCATGCTTGGAAACTTTCGTGTGCCATTCCAGTGAGATTGCTGTGATCATCGTTGTGGTGGAAACCTGGCATCATGTCAACCTGCACAAGCACCCTAAAAACAAGGATGAGGCGCGCAGCAGTGGCAATGCAATGAGAACGGCAGCTGCTAGTCATAGTGGGGCGATGGTGTGGAGAAAATAGTGGATCGCAAGAAATTGCTCTTCTGGCAAGTGAGGCCAGGCCAATCCACGCGACCACAATCGCAATTCTTGGGCGCCTCCAGAACGTCTTAATTGAGTTTTCGTCATCTATAAGCTTCATGCTTGAGCATCTCGGCCGTTTGCAAATGCAGAATCATTTTCAAGGGCGCGGCCAGCTATCTCTGCGCAAGGAATCCCTTTTGAAGCCACTTCTTGGGCTCCAAGGGCAAGGCCATGAGGCAGTGAGCCTGGGAGCCTAGGGCACGATGCCCTCGAGGTCCCCGAGATCTTTCAAACCACTCTCATCCATGAGGTTCACCAAATACCTCGGTTGGTTCTACCCAAAGACCTGGCCTCTGTAAAAGATCTCCTAGGGGTGAGCTGTAACAACCCAGGCTTCAAAGATGGATCTTGTATCGAATTTTGGGAGGCTGCGGATTTGAAAGAACGTCATGACTCTGCACAAGGTCTGCTGGGTTTTCTCAGGGGGGTTGCTTTCTTGTGCTGCACTGATGCAGCGACAGTGCTTCATGTAGATTCCATTTTGGTGCAATGATCGGGTCCCTCAAGCTCTTGGAAGGCTTCCGAACACAAGCGATGATACCTGGGATATTCTGAAAATATTTGAAAATCATTGGCCCCTTTGGTGCCACCTGGTTTGCTGCACCTGGGGGGGTTTTAAGCATGGGCCCCGAATTCTGGAAGCTGCTTGACTTGCTACACCCCACAAGGGATCCTACCCATTGCTTTCAGCTGGCTGAGCTGTCACTGAGCAAGGCAGTAATCATGAAGTGCAATCAAGGAACTGCGCTTGAAGGGTCTCCTGTTTGTGCGTTTCTAGGGTTGATACGGGCTGGCTTGTTCTACTTCGTGCCTCTGAGACCAAATTCGTAGTAAACAACAGGTGGAGTGCTCTTGCTGCTAGACGGGGCACAGATGGCTTCATGCATCACATGAGTAGAAGCTGGCAAAGCTCAAGAAACTCTGTTTCTGCTGGTGAATTGCTCGATTCTTTGAACGAGGGGAAGCGGGAATGAATTGGGGGGGCTTATACCAGCGAGCGGAAAACTTCTAAAACTTACATACAAACTCTCAAGCGTCCTCAATATTGGGGAAGCCTGGCGAAGCGTCACGGAATTCGAGACTAGGAGTGAAAGGCTGGAGATAGGTCAGCGTCAGAACCCAACAATTCAGAATCAAGCAACAAATCACATGGAAAATTGAAATGAACACCGCCCGGTCCAGGGCTTGGTAATGATGGCTTTAGCTGATCCTTACTTCAACCTGGCCGCCTTGAAGGTTGGGTTTAGGGGTTTTAGTCTAGGGCTCAGGGTTAAGGAGCTTTCTACCAAAGGACCAGACCAAGTTGAAATTGCTAAGCTCTAAATTTCCCACCGGCTTCGCTTGCGCCAGTGTCATTTTCCATTTAGTTCTCCATTATTACTGAGATTCTACAGCTGACATATCTCCATCCTTTTGCTTGTGCCCTTAAAGGTTATGATGTGAGCCTGTCTGAACCTCCTGAACATTGAAATATTCAATGTGTCTTGGGCTTACGCAGGAAGCATGAGCGTGTTTTTTGGAGTTTAGTGCTTTGGCTTTCTCACTTTTGATATATCAAACCTTTCCTTTGCCTATACGTGTTGGAACCCGCCCTCTCCTGGTCTTGAAGCTCCGGGGTGTCAGCGATCCTGTGCACACAGCCACCCTTCAACTTTTGCTTGAGCATCTTGTAGGGTTTACCTGGGGGTCACGTCATAACCGCAGTCTCGGGTGATTTCTTCGTCTGCTTCATTGGGGGCTCCGATCCTATGCATTGAAAACATGGGCAGGCTCCCCAGGCCAAGTTTATGATGTGTTGTCTGCACGGCAGTCGGCTTGCGATTTACATGCAAGCTTAAGCATGTGGCAGAACTTCTTATCAGGATGCTAAGCCAGCAAAATCCCTTCCCCCAAATGTTCCCCAGTCAGAAATGGTGCATGCATCTTGTTTTGCTCAACCCAAATCAGTAAGCCAACCACTAATCTCAAAACCTAAGCGCTAAACCCGCCGCCGCAATTCAATGCTAGTGCAAAAGAATGGATTGTTTACTTACTTCGAGGTGTATGTCAGGTACACAAGGAATCTGAAATCGCACTATTCATGAGGGTCCTATAAACCCTTGTATCAACCCAGGTTCCATGTGATGTTCCATGTTCGTTTCCATTTGACTCTCCATTGTGGTAATCATAGAATGTTGGTCATGATGTATCTTGTTGTCCTATACTGCACCCCCTGGGCTCATTTAGGCCTCATTTGGGGGTTTATTCTGGTGGGGGTCGAGTAATGGGGGTGGTGTAGTATAGGATCCCAGAATACCTACGTTTCTACAGTAAAACCGTTCCCTAAACCCTAAACCATAAATCCTCAACCGCGCATGCAGCCCAGATTCATCTGGCTCACCTCGGCGGCCAAGGTACCATCATCCGTGTCGCCTAAGTCTCTGAGCTTGGAACCCATGGCCTGTATCCTTGGGGATATATAGGGGAAATCTTGAGGATATAGAGGGAAAGTTGGGAAGAGCATAAAGACTGGGTGTGTTATAGAGGCTATGAAGGAAGCAAAGGAACTTACGCAGATTATGAGGACATGTACGGTTTGGGGTCTGGAAGTTACCGGTCAGGCGTCAAAGTCTTTGTACCCTCGTGCGCAAAACAGGCGGCCGCATCGTAAACGCGCGGGCACGCGCACCAAAATCTATCAAGGAATGAAGCTTTCAGGAGGATGGGATGGAAAGTTCAATGCAAAACCGCATCGTCAAGATGTCGGACATGCATGCTTTTGTGGCACTTCGGCCTAATTAATTAATCGCTTTGTCACCTCGGACTCATCGTTTTGTCTGCAGACATCTGATGTCGACTCCAAGAACCAGACTGGGTCCTTGTCCAAGTCAACTGGGGCCTGTAGTACCTTCTCCGCTTCGGGCTTAGCCGCGCGACGAGGAGCAGCCAGGACACGTGTTACATCCGAGCTTAGCTCAGGAGCTTTGCTCCAAAGCTGGAATTTCTTAGGGTTTCAGCGTGGATCCTGAAACACAGATGTTTCATTCAGGTGGACGTTGCTAAGCTTCCAGCATGGATGCCTAGCGCCATTTTGAGAGGCTTCTGATGCCCCGAAAGTGCTCGCCCCATGCACACCCCACCAACAAGGCTCTAGCGAGGTGACATTGAGGCCAGTGGTGGCGGGATGTTGTCAGGGCTACCCTTCGTAGGCAAATACAGTGGCCCCAATGGTCCATTCTTCAGGTTCCATGACTTGTTTGGGGGGGTGCAGTACGTGCCCTGCTGTTGCAACAGCTTCTGTGTTGAGCCCCTCCATATTCAGAAGTTGCTTGCACGACAGAATGTCACGGAGGGCCTCCCTTCAGAAGCTTTCTGGTCCGGAATTGACATTCTGCTCCCCTTTCTGTGCTCTTCCTGGCAGTTTCCCTGAGGGCCGTGGAGGCCGGCTTGCCGCCCAGCAAAAAGGAAAAGCTGCCGCAAGTTGTTGGACGAAAGCTTGGCCGAGTACATGGGGATTACAAGGGGGCATAGACAAATGGTGGAGACTCGAACGGAAAAGACCATGGAAATGAAATGGAGCCCACTATGTTTATGTATATGTAAACATAGGCATAGAAAAGGGGCAAGGATAGGAGGGAACATTACCCCAATAGTAGGGAATCAATTGGAAGAGAAAACGGGGCATGAAATGGAAACTCGATGCGACAAGTTGAACCTCTATGCAATTTCTGACAGAATTCAAAAAAAACTGACAACCTCAAAGTCTTTCCCTGACCTCCTTTTAACCCGAATGCCTCAAAGCTGAGTGCCTAGTTCCCAAGATTAAGGTCCCATTTTGTTTCCACCTAAATATTCGGTGCCGTACTATAATCTATAACTAGAAGGGGCCCACATTTTTTGAGAATGCCAAGTCCAGTTGACTGGGTTCCTGGCGATTGGTTAGCTAGGAATGAAGGAGTGGATCCTCACAGTAATCCCTATATAACCCAGAATAATTTCCATTTTCTTTTCCCATTACTTCATTCCCAGCTAACATAAGGTAAGAAGATCCTACATAATATGACCCCTCTAGACTATATTCTACATCCTATATAACTTACATAACCCTACATAAACCTACATGAACCCTATATAACCCTTGTTTAAACCCTAGACGTAACCCTACATAACCCCCTATGTAACCCCCAAAAGCCCGGTTCTGGGACCCCGGCGGCCCCAACCCAGTCTTTGAATTTCAGCGGCTTGAGCAGCCTGCGCTGACGGTCCCAGGCTGTAAGGGTCTGGGATTTAAGGGCTTAGGGTGTAGGGTTTTAGTATTTTAGGCTTTTCGGGTGTAAGGTTTTGGGGTTTTAGAGTTTAGGGTTTTAGGGTTTAGGGTTTTCGGGTGTGAGGTCTTAGGGTTTTAGGGTTTAGGGCTCTAGGGTTTAGGTTTTAGGGTTTAGGGCTTAGGGTGTAGCTTTTAGGGGAAGAGGGCTGCTCAGCGACCTTCTGTATCATGAGGGCATTTAGGGTTACTCCCCTCTCTCTAATTAAACCCCACCCCCTCTTAATATTAGATATTCCCAATATATTATACCACAATGGGAGTATTGAATACTAGGGGGGGTGCGGGGGTTTAATGTTATGGGAGGGTATTACCCCAACCGCACAAATTAACTATCTAAATTTGGGTACTGCCCCCCCTCAGTAACAGTTGGATAATAATTATAATATGGTTTTATATAGCCCTTAATAGGATCCCTAAAAAAGAGTGTTACTGGGAGGGTGCAGTACCCAACCCTAAATGAACGACCAGCTCTTCCCTGCTGGGATCTCAAAACGGGGGCACAAGATGTTTGAGAACCGTATGATTTCTGCAGACTTCCTACGGTACTGTAATCCTTCCAACATCTGCACATAACCCCCTGCGCGTCTTCGTCCAAGGCATTCATGCCGTTCTCAGACTTTGGGCCTACTGTCGAAGTTGAACCCTACACCCCTAAACCCTAACCCTAAACCTCAACACAAAAAAAAGAAAAAACGACCTTGCCTGCACAGTCCGCGCGTGCCAGGCATCAGCGCAAGCAAAAAACTGGGCCAACTTTTCCTTGACCATCGGCTCCTCTGCTCTCTCCTTGTGCAAGCCACAGAAAAACTGTAATTTGTTTTTATAACAGCGAGAGTCCGGGTTCAAGGGCTGAAGGTCTCTGAAGGGACTAGAGCCTTCAAAGGTGTTTCAAGTTATGAGCCCAATTTGAACACCATCTAGCACCTGGGGTACGGACATGAGACTCTTGATATCCAAGCTATCAGCGCGACGCATGCAGGACATCGCACGTTCTGTACATGTAGCAAGCACGGGTATTGCAACGAGCTTGTTTCACGCTACTACTGGTGTCTTTACATCAAAGGCACCTTGCTGATGTTTCTGGGGCATCAAGAAACTCATACTTTTGCCTTTCCATCCACATGGGGAGTTGGACAGCAGTAATTCCTGCCAACCCGAAAAATCCGACAACTGACTGCAAACCGCAGCAGAAGATTTTGCAAGATGAGAGGGGCCTTCAAGCCACCATCGCAGCCAGCAGAAAGCATGGCGAATGTTAGGTGCAATGCAGGAAGCAAGCACAGCAGCGGTAAAAATTGCCTCCTTACACCCTAAATAGTAGCTTCAATTTTCTTTTCCATTTTCCCTACATAAACCCTGTATACCCCAATATTACCCTAATGTATGCTCGATTATGATGTAGTAGTTTCCATTGACTTCTCCATATCCCTATATATCCCTATATACCCCCAATAAGTGTCCAGTGTCCTGCCAACCCTCGCGGAGCTTGCCGGTCCAGTCTGCAAGATCCTTCGCCTCATCGAAGGCCACCTTTTGAAACCTCAGCCCCTATAACAATCTGGATCCGAGACTCATAGGAAGTCAACACAAGATCTGCAGAGCAGACTTGGGCAGGAGGGGTTTCCATGTCTGCTTTGCTCAGACCATACAACATCTGCTGTCTCTGCCGCGCGGCTTCAGGCAATCTCCTTCGGGTATGGGAATGAGGCAGGTCGTGCAGTCTTCCGATGACGCAAGACCTGGCTTTCCAACGGCACTTGTCCGAGCTTTGCCACAGAAGGAACTTTGAACGACAACCCTGAACCTTCAAATTTGACACGTCACGCAAAACTTAAGCTCTTTATGTTCCGTAGCTCTCCGCAACCTTCAGATGCCCAAGCATAGGGCCCTGTGCCCTACAGCCATGCAGGGTTCTGCTTTCTTCGCTACTTGGTGGTTAGAGAATCACAACTTCCTCTGTCCCGCTGAAAAACTCCAGTAGCCCCAGGAGCCCTCAAAAGCCTTGGTGGAACGAACCTGTCGCTCCTTAGTGAATCTTACACAAGCTTTAATATCCCCTCCCGCTATATTGACCCCCCCCAACCCCCCAATATAAAATACTCTCTATACTCTCTATAAGTGTGTGTATATATATGTATATATATGTGTGTGTGTGTGTGTAATATACCACATAATGGGAATATCTAATATTAGGGAGGCTGGAGGGGTTGAGTATATAATATACTACAATATACCATAATATATTATAATATCCCATAATATATTCTAATATACCATAATATAGAGAATATTAGGGGGAGGGTGATGATTTCCGTAAGGGCTTATGCTGCCAGGCATCCCAGGAGCTCCACAGGGATGGATGGAAGGCGGCCCTGAAGCAAATCTGCCTGGATCTAATCCCCTATTATGGCATATTATAATAGATTATGGTGTATTATAATATATGATGGTATATTATAAAATATCATGGCATATTATAAAATAATATGGTATATTATAATATACTATGGTATATTATGGCATATCCAGTTATGATATACTACATGATGGGGTATCTAATATTAGGGGGGGTGCGGGTGTTTCATATTTGGGGGGAGGGGATCTACAGCAGCATGCTTGCTCTCACATCATTTATAAGGCCATTTGTGGGAGTAACCCTGATACCCCTCAGTGGCCTTATGAGAGTTACTCCCCCTATCATAAGGTGTTGAGGCAGGACTTAGATGCTTCAGGGCTCCTTCAAAATCAGCTGGGCTTTGGTCTAAACTCCTAGTCTCCCCCTTAATGAGCCCTATAGTCGGAACCCTATATATATATATATACATACCCCCTAAGAAACCCCCCTTTAAGGAGTTTAGACTACGGTACCTTTGGATCTGGTCTTGGGGTTTCCACCTTGGGGGGTCCCTCTAGGTCAGGATGATTGCAGACCTTCGAAAATTCCATTTCCCATGCTTGAACAAAGCGCAACCTCTAAGTAGACCAGTTCTTCCACTACCTTGTCATTTTCAAGGAGGCCCTCAAAAGACACCAGCGCAGGGTTTCTAGGAAATTGCCGTCTGAGAGCTAGCTCAAAGATCCTGTCATCCTCGTTCTGCACGCCTGAAGAGTGCACTCACTCTAACTTCGAAAACGAGATGGTCAATGCAGCCATCTCATACACAGTCTTTGAACCTCTGTACTATCAAAAGCCCCTCGAATGAGAATGCAGACTGGCCTCAATCACCTGTAGGTCTGAGGCCAACTGATTGCGGCAGCGCATCTGCAGCCTAGAAGGAAAGCCCAAACTTTGGGCTTAGCGTGATTGTCTCTGAATCATTCATGGTTATTCTTGGTTGGGCTTTAAGTTTTAAGTTGAGGTTCGGAGCTGTTGTTTTGCAGCTTTGGGCGAGGCAATTTGCAGGCGTATCTGATCATGGCTCTGTTACCCTTCATACTTTTTGAGGTAATAAAGATGCACATGATGGAGGCATCGTGGCTAATTATGGCATGTATTGGACCCTGGTCTCGTCAACAAAGGGTGCCAACACACAAAAAGAGATGTGGGTATACACGACAACTGACACCAAAAAATGGAAATTCTGTGGTGGCTTACAAGCCAAGCTTGGGCTCCAGTCAAGTCAGCCCACTCGCCTGCTTTATGAGGAGCATCATCAAAAGCAAGTCTCGGCAGTTTTGCCACTTTAGCTAGCATGATCCATGATTATTCTTCTTATTAGCATGATGGTCTGCTGTTGTTGGCCCCAGCTTCTTACTGCCACGATGGCTCTAGAGCCCTGCCAGGGTCTGTCAAGTCCCGCAGTGCCCGCCATTCCAAACTCCTATTCTCAGACAGCTCTGATGTCTTTACTCTGAAAACGTCCCCAGAATCCCAGTCCGGATCCCAAGCCACTGTTGAAATCATTGCGCCTAGCGGTGGGGACATGTGTCAAAGTTATTGATTCCGGGCTGGAATGTCCTTTTTCGCCAGGGGCTTGAGGACTCTGGTGCTGGCAGTGGCAATAATTTCTACTAAAGTCGCCCCTCAAACGTTTACGATACCTGGAGTCGGATGACCATTCTGGCTTGTGATCCTTTCAGATAACTTGAAAGGGCCTGACGCTTTTAACTTGATGTCGGAAACTTGCTTTATCTCCCCATCGTCATCTTTGATGTACCGTCCTAGCCTCGTAGATCAGGATAATGCGCCCTCAATGTCTCGCCCACTCTAGGTGGCAATTGCCGTTTCAACTGATATAGCTCTTTCGACCACCAAAATCCCTGAAACCTTAACTTACTTATCAGACTTATATAAACCCAATTTTACCCCTATATAACCCCTATAGTAATTTCCATGTTCTTTCCATATTATCCCTATTTAACCCCAATATTACCCCTCTTCTGCTTCGAAACCGGCCTCAGCTCCTCCACCTGCTCTTCCGCAAAGTCCACCCAGGCCGCGCGACCTTCATCAGAAGCCTCTTCTGCAGGGTGGCGCACGGACTCCGGCACCTTCACAGCAGTTCAAAGGCCTAGGAATGACAAGCATACTGGCTTTGAACAGCGGAAAGAAATGTCAGGAAAGTTCTCCCCCAAAAAAAACATCTGTTAGTAGTCTTCTTGGTGGCGGCGATGGAACAACCAAAGCATAGGCCCATTCATGCATTATCCGCCCCCACCTATAGGATAGACAGCTGAGGTCCGTGAGGGCCTGCTTTTCTTTAAGCAAAATACGTGTTTTTGGATGTTATCGCTCTGATTCTCTGATGAGGATCAATCCCGACCCCATACACTCGGTTACTTTGGAGATACACTCTGTTGTTCAACTTATGTGCAAGGCAACCAGCTCTTCATCGAATACCAGTTCAGAAGGGGACTCAAAGCTGGACCATTGATACAACATGCGTGAATCGCATGAACACTGGTAAACCTCGCTCTAGTCAGTAAAGCCCCGAAACCAGCTCTCATCATGATGCCTTCTGATAGGATGCCACAAGGGCTTGTGTAGCTTTCCGGGGCTTTGTATCGGCTCATAGGAACCTACAAGGTGTTCTAGGCATGCACACCGGTTTCGTACTTTTTTTAAGGAAGGTAGTTGTGGGGGCTGAAGTCAGCAAAACACTTGGGGCCCCAGTTTTGTGGTTGTTCTACATAGCAGACAGAGGCCAACATAATACATGCAAAACAACCCGTCGGGGTTTATGTTTAAACCTTTGAGTTCGTACCTTCTTCTTTGTGGTGGTGGTACCTGTATGTTTGGTTGCCAAGGTCCTTTCTCAGCTCTCCACCCCTAAAACCCAACCGTCAGACCAACCTTAAGCACCCGGCCTTCTGTTCCCGACTCGGTTCTCTAAAGTCTCTGAACCCTGCACCCGCCTGAACTTCTTGCAGTTGGCCATCGGACCCTAGACTCTTGACCACTTCCGGCGGTGGACGCCGAGGTAGGTCCTGCTTGGAGGGGTTGACTTGGCGGTTCATGGGTAGCTATAATTTTGGCATCGCTGTTGCCATCTTCTCTAACATCCGGCCGCATTCCCATTCTGAAAAAGTGATGTGCATTGCCACTATGAGGATACCGCTCTGCCATAGTGAGCCACTTTGCAATTGTGTTTGCTACAGCAATTCCTGCAGTAGTTGTTGAATTCTTTAAGCAGCCGCCACTTTATCATGCTGTGCGTGATGTGGTGCTTATGGCATAGGGCAACAGTCTACGTGTCTTTTGCCTGCCCCCATCTATCCCGAACGTCCCTGAGGGTAGCCCTTCTGCGAGAGCCCCCACATACCGGAGGCACGCCGCTTCAAGTTTATGCCGACAATGAGCTTGCAGACAAGGTGAGGCAAAAGAACATACTGTTTCATGATCAGATTTTTTCCCTACCACACGCCCGCTTTGAGACTGCCCCCTAAAAAATGATTTATTAAGCTTGATCCACATGTCAATGTGTGCCCCTCCGAAGGTGCGCCATACAAAATGAGGTGATAGACTTGATCCACATGTCTGCCCCTCCCAAGAATGTCGACGTGTACAAAGTACCAAGCGAGAACACGAGATGAGTTCAAAGGGCATGCTATTCTAGGGTGACGAACTATACCTGTCAAGGCTAAAGCCCTAACAGCATATATCCTAAATCCTAAATCCTGAAGCAGGAAACCTTAGTCCCCCTTAAGTAGGTCGAATATGGCTTCGGGTATATTGAAATAAGATCCCTATGTACCCCATATTCTATCTACTTGAGGGGGCCTATAAGTTCTGGATTTTTGGAACATCCAGCAGCCTCCAGTTCCTGTCGGACCTCCAGTTTGCCTGTCCGATAGCCACGGGTACTTCTGGTGTAGGGAGGAGCCTGGTCCTACTTGGAATCCACCCCATCAACGTACCATGGAGTCTTTGCAAGAAATCTATGCGGCAGAGTTTGATTGATTGCGCGCCTCAACTCCTAGTATCCCCCTCAAAAACCCTATCATCCCCTATATAATCCCCCTAAAGGAGTTTAGATTATGGCTCATATGTGAGGGATAAACAAAGAGGCAGTAAGGCAGGGACGCTCTCCCCTTTTTCATGATTCACGTCGGTCACACTTCGTGCCCCAGCTTTGCTTAGTAAGTAGGTGGTAAGATGCTGCAAGCGCATGTCTTTCTTTCCCCTGTTTTTCTTGAATAAAGAGGCCTGGGTTAGGACATCAAATCACCTCCCCGTACATTAAATAGCGCCCTGTGCCCCAGTATTAAGATATCGCCCTAGGGAATGTTTAGAGGGTCATCGTTGCGGAAGCTTTTTTATCTAGGGACAGCTGAGGTCTTTCCCAAAGCCCCATAAGGTCTGACACTCCAACTTCTGAACCTCTTTGGCATCGTCTCGTTCCAGGGAACCCCTGCTAACCTGTTTGATAACTGAGTGCTAAGGAATCACTCAGAGGAGCCAGGCTTTGGGGTAGGGAGAGCCCCTGGAGGTGCATAGCTGTGCACGCAACTCTCAATGTCCAAGCTTCCAAAATGTGCTGCACTGCAAGGGAATGACCCCAGGCGGGGAGGCGAGGAGAAGAGAGGGGCAGCCCCAAAATACTTACTTATAGACGTATAGACTTGTGTATTCTTCATCTCCAGGCTTCACGAGTAACTTTAAGAAGCGATGTAAGCCTCGTAAATCTTGTACGGGTCGCAAAGCAGATTTGCTGTGAGTCCACAGACAGCATGCATCATACCTCAAGGCCCATGTAGGTCATTCTATGCATTTTATACAAAAGTCCATAATTAGCCGCTGGAGATCATACTGTTTTCACCGTCTCTCTCTCTCCCTCTCAATTCCTTCTCCTGCGACAGCGCACAAACCTGGCATCCCTTCCGAAGGGTGGCAAGAAACCATCTTCCTCCATAGTCTTCCTAGCTGCTAAGGAACCATTGATTAGGGAAGTACTCCAACACGCGAGCGTGGCAGAACCTTGTTTGAGGCACCTGAAGGCAAACTACACCCACGCCATCAGCCATACCCCCCCCCCCGAAAATCGCATCCGATTTCTCGAGCTCCTGTCATACCCCTATCATTCTTGAGAGTAGGTTGGCCTTGCCTTCAGGCCGCCAGTCATCCAGAGTATCCAGGTTTACCTGGTCTGCACCGCGGGGGCCTTGCGCACATGGCGGGCGTAAAAAGGTCAGGGCTCAGGGACGGAGAGCTTGAAGGGCTAGAGTGATGAACACTAGGGATGGCTGGGTAAGTGCGAAACATGGCGTCATTCTTTCATAAGTCCGGCACATGGGAGATTTCTTGTCACTCCCATCCACTGTCTTTCTCGCATGTATCACTTGTGAAATTTTCTCTCCGGCTAAGACAGCTGCAGAAACTGCTGTCACTGCCCCGCTGCTTCTCCTCCTCCTCCTTCTCCTTCCACTATGGTGCTTCTTGTCCTGGTGCTACTCCGCACGTGGCTACTACTAGTACCATAGCGACAAACGCAACTGCCACCAACCACTACAAACAAGGCTGGAATTGACAGATCCTGCTTGAGCAAAAGTACCCTTCAGTGGGTTACAGTAGACTAGAACCAGAACAAGACAACCCTATGATGACTACCACTACCACTCCTTTTCATCCTCCTGCGACAACTGCTGCTACTACCACCCCTGCTTGTACTTCTGCAGCAAGTGACACAACAATGCTGGTGGGAGCCATGCTAAGCGACAGAATCTCTTGTACTTCCTCTACTTCTTATAACTACTATGACAACAACTACTACTATTACTACTATTACTATACTGCCCTAAACCCTGAACCCTAAACCCTGGCATCATGGTAATCCAGCAGCTGTTGGACGGATGTGGCTGCAGAGCTGCCATCGCATCCTCGAGTTTCAGCCTGGTCCGTGGCCTGATTCCGTAGCTTTACGAGCCCGCGGAGTGAAAGGGTTCCAGAGGGATAGGGATATGAGGGGGTTATATAGGGATTACGTAGGATATTATGGGCGTGATAATTTATAGGATGTATATAGGGATCATATAGGGATATTATGGGGGTGATAATAGAGTTTGCTAGTACAGGAGTTCATGGGCGTTGAGAATATAGTGCTTCTTCGGCATTATGTTGGCTTCTCCTGCCAAAGTCTTAATGTACAACTTTCTGTGAAGAGCTCAGTGTGACCTGTTCGGGTCTTGAAAGATAGTAACACGTTCGGTTTCACTGGCATCCTCCTCATGTTTGCCTCTGTCAGGCGGCTTTTATTACTTTCGGGGCATGCACGGGCTATGCCCGGGTATGCTACTGAATTTGAAGTGTGGAAAAGACATGGGCACTTCCAAGCAAAACTGCTGGCAACATGCGTCTTCACGATTAACCCAGCTTTTGTCCCGCATCTTTGCCAAGCTGAACTAGTTTGTCAGGCGCAAGGGCTCTTGAAAGAGATGTCGCCATGCGAGAGAACTGGAAAGAACTACGAGTCAAGTCAGTTCATAGCTCGGTTCATTCCCTTCTAAGAAGGTAAAGACACGGATAGAGGACATGTTTTTTTTTTTACAAGCTTTTTCTTGACATGGGACTCTTTTCCTAATCCAAATCCCAACCCAGGTTTTGAAACCATATTGCATGAATGCGCCGAGTGCTTCCAACAACGGGGGCGCAGGACTATCCAATCGAAGTCTAGAGGCGGCATTTCCTTCAAGCTGGCGATCACGGGGAATCTTCGAGAAGGATCCTCGGAAACATCCTGCGCATGCCAATTTGTCATTCTCACCATTGCTGGTGAGCACCCTCGCTGCTAGGACTATATCTATTGCTCTCCACGATGTTCGTGGTTGTTAGCGTCGCCAACCTGACAATCCAAGGCCAAGGGTTCAAGGCGAGTTGCCGCAGGGTTTCCTGCTAGGCAAAGCGATGAGGAGTTTTTGGGCTCAGGATTCGTTAGCTGACGGAAAACACCTTTTCCCCAAACCGCAGCATCAGAATGATGATCAGGTGAATCCTATAACTCCCCGCACCCCAGTACCCGTAGCTGTGGCCCCCGCCCTGCAGTCACCCCAATGACAGTCTCACGCACTAGCTGGGGTAGACAGTTCATACTGGCTCTAACAAAACAAGCTCATTCAATGCCAATGCAATGGCAGGATTGCTACTAGTGGTATGCAACCTTCCTCCCGCGAGCAGTGCATCCTAAACCTTCCTCGATGATTCCCGCAGACCCATTCATGGCGTTTGTTTCATCATTCCGTGCTGAATTGTTCCATATGCTAAAAAATTGCAACCTGGATGAGCCTTGCAGCCTGTCCTCGATCTTTACTACGATCTCCTTTTTGAGGGGATACTCCTGCATGACGACTTTGGCCACATCTGCATCCTGGCCAGAGCTGGTAGGATTTACATGTCACCCCAATTCCCAACACTTTGATGGATATGATGGATGATACAGTACCTATTATTAAAGATAGCTGGTAATTGCTACTAAAATTGTTGGTCATCGGGGTTGCAGGTATGGGTAAGGAACTTGCGATTCATGGGCTTCAGAACCCACGCATGGCTTTAGGATAGTGGGCTAGCAAATTAATCCGGGCCAATGTTGTGGGCTTCCGGCTGGGGACGGTTTAAATGCTTTAGGACAGTTCTTGAATCTCTGCACATGCTACCAATTGAACCCTCCACCCTATACCCCAAAACCTACATTCGGCGCCTCGATCACTATGGGCACCAGCACATCCACCACAGCACCGACATCTACCCGCAGGCCATCATTCAGGGAGACCTGAACTCTAAGCTTCTGGAACCCTGGCTCTTAGGAGTATAGATAACAGAAACGGGTTCGTAGGATTATAGACAACAGAAATTTACAAAATGTTTTTAGGGAACTTCCAGTGCAGGCTTGAATGGGTCGGGGGTACCGAGGTGAATTTGGTGGTTTCCCAAGAAGAGGGACCCCAATATAGACCCCAATACCCGATCGTGCTTATCATAGGTATCCGCAAAAAGGTATTCCTAATTCTGGGAAACACTAATCCCTATAACCTCTATGTAATCTCAGCTTCCATTTCATTTTCCTTTTCCATTTGATTCTCCCATTAAATATATATATATATATATATACATACACACACACTGTAATATAGATCTCTCTCTCTGTCTCCCTAAGCCCCATGGCCCCAAACCCTAAGGATCTAGAGGTTGAGGTGCCCCCGGCTTTGGGCTTTCAAGGGGCGCAGTGGAGCGAGTGGTAGGAATACTGCAATATACCTAAACCCTGAGCCTTAGGGTTGAGGGTTTAATTGGGAACATAATAAGGATAATTGTGCCGCATATAGCCACGGTTTCCATTTCATTTTCCAAGTTTGGGGCTTTCTGGTGGTAGTATCCCTAAACCCTTCACCAATAATGTTGGTGACTACTTGCCCCAAACACTAAACCCCATCAACCTTTGAAAATGACAGTAAAATGCCCACGCTGACAATATAGCACAATGGGAATATTTGATTTTAGGGTGGTGGGGGGGTGTTAACATTCGTCAAAGGTTCGGAACCATGGACCCCAGTATTCAGTATGGCCCTCGATCCTGGGGTCCTCATATACCTATTACATGCACTCTCAACCCCAACTAGCCGAATGAAGAGCCCATAGCTATCACCTAGGAAATCGGTACATGTTGATTAGCGGCCCTAAGCCAAATGTCAGCCCAGGCTAAGCACGGCCGGCTCCTGCCGTCAGATGCAACAATGTTGGGGGTTTTCCAGAAGTCACTCACGGGGTGTGTGAGGGTTAGGGCTTCCAAAGCATGGCGTCCCTTTGCGGGGGTACCCATAATATGGATTATATCCCAAGAGGTCTACATTGGGGACCCCCGTTTGTGGAAACTACCATTGTCAACTACAAGCCGATGACCCTGTCTGCAACTCGCTGCATGTGTATATCCCCATCAGTCTCCTCATCAGGGTGTGTAATCCGCAGTTAGTGGAGATAAGTGCCTGGCCCTACTTCGAAGATCATAGGTAGTTCAAGTACGCTTGTAAGTTTGGCTTGCTACAAGAAGTATCCCGAGTTAGGGTGGCCTTACTGCATGCATAAACCAGCTCCCCCAAAAAAGGATCCTCTTGTGCTTGCGTTTGTGCCCTTTGCTTCCTGAGCCAAGGGGCTTCAACCACTGTCCCGCTGAGTTCGCCTCCAACCTCCAGTCTTTAGCTCAAGGGCTAATCGCATCAATCACAGGCATCTGAATTGAAATGTGCTCATGGCCAAGAGTTTGGGGATCCCAATCCGAACTTCAATCAGGCCTGATGTTGGAAAAAGTGGATGCTAAAGGGGCTGGGCCAACGTGAGAAACATTATTTGGTGGTTAAACCCAGTATATAAGGTTATATTCCTTATATCAAATACTATACCCCAAGAGGAGGATATAATCTTACTCTATATTGGGCACCATAGTATCCCCGAATAGAATACTACTCACGTGCGCATTGTGGTGCAAATTCACCTTGTCGGTCACAACTTGTGCCATGCTAATAATTTGCTAATAACAGCAGAAAGTCCGGGCGAGTAGTGTAGCACATAGAAATATCTAGGGCAAAGGGTCCGCGAGGGGGGAAGTACAAGGCTTTTACCCGCGGCTGAAGCCCTCACTCAAATGAGGCTTATACCCCATACACCCTAAACATCTTAAAGAGCCCAAGCAAGAGGCAACCCAAGCAGGACTTGGCGCCTTTAACTTCGGCGACTGCAGAGCCAACCGCCGGCCCTGCTGGCCAGAGCAGGGCAACATGTCACAGGGACACGGGGCGACAGCGACGACGATGAGCTTTCAATGTTTAAAAAACACCCACAAACAAACGTAAGGGCGTGTGTCAGGGCTCATGAATGTGGAGGTCCTGTTCTGGGAGCCTCGGCGTCCAGAATTTACGTTCTTGGGGCAAACAAGCTAACCCTAAACCCTACATAACATATAGTAGTTTCCATTTTCTTTCCATTTTCCCTATATAACCCCTATATAACCCCTATACAACCCTACATAACCCTAGAATATAATAGTTTCCGTTCTATTTTCCAATTTCCCAATATCAACCCATTACAACCCCAATATAACTCCAATATAACGAATAAGATTTGCTTTGGGCCATGCCCATTTGTCTTTCTGTCCCTTCACTATTCCTGCATGCCTTCCATCCAAGCGTTGTTGCGCCGATGAATTCCCAAGGTCCGGTCCAAAGTTACCCCTCAGTCCGCCGGTTGAGAAGTTCTGCGCTGGTGCAGCATACACCGTTTATCAGAAGCTTCTGGCTGCCATCGATAAAGCATGTCACGAAGCATAAGGCCAAGCAGTAGCCACTAGATACACGCAAGTTGACCACTTCAACGCGACGTCCGCCTTCTTCTTCTGCAAAGGAGCGCGCACATCACAAATCCTTGGATGTTACACTGCTAAGCCGCTAGCAGGAACGCATGTTGTTTCTTGCTGGTACTTGCCCGATGAATTTGTCAAGAGGACTTGGTGAACCGACTTGAAAGTAAAGTCCCGCCACAAGCGCTCATCAAACATTGCCCAAAAAATATCAGTATCAAAGCAGCTTGAAGTAGGGTAATCCGGAAATCTCCTCCCCTGGACTGGAATCTTGGGAGTGTTGATTGTAAGGGGGATAGGAAATCTTGCCTGGCAACAGTCATTGTAATCTGGCCAGCTTGCCATTCTAGGTCAAACGCTCAAACACCCGATCAAACCTCCATATGCTATATGTATGTATACGCATCTCTGTATACCCCTACGCATCCCTACATATGGGCAGTTCCCAAATCTTGGGTCCCCTTTTGGTCCCCCTGAATATTAGATCCCCTAATATCACCAAGAAGGGCCCACAGTTTTGAGAACAATCCAGATAACTTCCATGTTCTTTTCCATTATCCCTATACAACCCCTATATAACCCTATATAATACAATAGTTTCCATTTTCTTTTCCATTATCCCTAGATAACCCATATCTTACCCCCATGTAACCCTCTATATGTAATAGTTTCCATTCTCTTTTCCATTACCGTACAACCCATATATAAAGCTTCGGAAAAATCCTTGCTTCATCCTCAAGAGGCCAGCCTCTCGATTCCGATATCATCCCCTCAATCTTGCTGGATGTTTGGGGTTTAGGGGGTTTAGGGGTTTAGTTTTTTTCTTAACCCCTGGGACGTTTGCGTTTTAGGGGTTAGGGGTTTGGGTTTAGGGTTTAGGTTTTAGGTGTTTAGGGGTTAGGGGTTTAGGGTCCGGGGTTTGGGGTGTCCCCGTGGATTTCCCTGTGGGTGAGACACTCACGTATGGCCCGTATGGCATCCAAACATAGCGGCCCCAAAGTCGGAGCCCTGGAATCATCCCCTCCCCCTAGTATCGAATCCCCCCACCCGGCCTAATATTGAATACTCCCATAATGTGGTGTATATACTATAATATATTGGGAATATTGAATGTTAGGGTGGGTGGGGGGGTGCTGAATTTCGACAACCCCACACGTAGATCCCCAAAGGTCAACAGAGTGTCTGTAGCATCCCCTGCTCTGCGCCACGTGCCGTTGCCACGGCGGTGTCTGCTGACTTGGCTGCGCCTGCCTGCATTTTACAGGCGAATATCTAGTGACCCAAAATTCGGAAACAAAAAACCATCAGCCGTACGTTCGACCGCTGTGTGGTGCAGTCGTTGTGGGGTACGGCGTCATCTAGAGCGCCAGAAGTAAAGCAATTTTGGGACCACCTTCTGCGTGCAACCACATGTGGCATAGGTTGGGTGAGGTCGTGATAGGTTGCCCAGATTCAGGGCATGGGACTTGAAATCGTAAGCTTCCATGGTCAGTCTACAAAGATTCCTCGCAACATCGTATAATGTCGACCGAGCTTGGACCCATCTTCCCCTAGCAGGGGTTCCAACTCAATCCTCTGAATCCTCTAGCAACTAGCAACGGAAGCTAGTCCAAAATGTGCTTATTATTGGACTGAAAAATAAAGGTTTTATATGACAATATCTAATCCCTGGAGCAGAACGCAGTGATCCCCTTTCCGACACCATCATCCCCCCAAGGTGTCCGGCACATGCTTAATAACTTAAGCAATCACAAGTCTGAGGTCAAAGGGATATGATTCAAACTGCTCGCGGTTAGAGACAAGCCAGCTTTCGGGGCTGCAGGACCACGGAGCTACAAGGCACGCGCGGCAAAGCAGCTACAGGGGTATAGCATCTCTGAAACTTTTCCAGCCCCTCCATAGAAATATGCTCTTATTTCCTTGCAGTAAAACATCTTGTTGAGGCAGCGCCAATGTGACACCACGAGATTTTCATCTAGAGATGTTCTTACGAACTCGCGATGATGGCATGAGTTATGCGCACACTACTTGAATGCGGTTTGCGGTGGTGCGACGAGGCGCTGCTGTGCCTATTATCCGAACTGTCCCAATTGTGACTGAATCTTGCTTTTGATATTCTGCCTCTTCTATGCTAACGACGATCATCTGCAAAATTGTGTACTGACCCGCCGACCCGCCCTGAAACCCTCTCGTCGCCCCCTTTTTTCCCAAAGATCCGTCCTGTGGCGCACGTCCCTGGCCAACACCCCGAGGAAACTCTTTCGCGGTCACTGTCTCCTTGGTTGCAGGGCTCGTCTGCGCAGTCTTGTCTATTGCAGGCAAGTCAGATTTCGGGAAGCCATCTCTGGGGCCCGTTCAGCAAAGCTTGGCGGCTTGGCAGTAATGAGGCTTGACGCAGCTACCGCGCAGGAAGCAGGGGATTTGTTGAACATAGTTGGGATCCGTACGGATTTTGTGGAAAAGCTACTGGTCTCTTGAACCTGCCAATGATCCCGCAAACACCGATGTATTTCCAGGAGTGCTGAACATAGGTGGTCTGAACTTCCAGTAACGGACAATGATTGAGTTGCGGTTGATGATTTTGAATTGCGGGGGATGAGGGCATGGTTTGAATCTCATTTTTGAAAGCTGAGGCCCAAGAAAATCGTAGGATTTCAAGCTGTGACATCAATTTCGTGGCATCAATTTACAGGCCCAAGATTTTGGATTTGGGAAGGGGGGAGGGGCGACATTTGTTACGTATTGGTTCTTCTTAGGAAGGCGCTTATTCGCGAGACACTCTACCTGCTACTGAAACTCCTCAAAACACCCTCACAGCAAGCACGACTTATTTTCATACACGCAACTTCGTAAGTAGAACCCTAGCATGCATCAGAAGGACTAAAAACAGCTCCTTAAACATACGCATGCTTGCACATTGCACCTCTCCTCACTGCAGTGGACGACCCTTCACTTCTCTACCCCATACGAGCGCAAACCTTACGGCCAAGGATCTAGATAGAACTCGAGGTCTTTCAGCTCCTCCGGACCTTGGACGGCAGGCAAACAAGTCCACTTTGCCCTAAACCCTAAGGCCTGAAATCCTTTTTTTGCAGTGGGTCTCAAGTACCAGCCCAACTTGGCCTGAAAACCCTACTAAACCACAAAAAACTGGATCAAATCCCGACGTCGGATTTCTGAAGCGCAAGGCGCGCAGTCGCGGACTTGTGCAGGAACTCTTATATAAACCCTCATGAGCCTATAGAACCCTTATAAAACTGTATAACCCTAATAATCCTAGATAACCCTAATAAACTCATAAATCCTCTCATATAACCCTTATATAGCCCCTAGCACCAGACAGCAAACTGGGGTCCTGCCATATCCACTCGGACTCGCTAGCAGTATCCGTGCCACGGTTGTGCACAAGTGAAATTGATATAAATCATGATGCGAAGCATATTAAAAGTGCTATATTACTCTTATTATCATTAATATTGCTATTAGTAATCCCATTTCTAAAGTGAACTTTTTCTTTATAGATGCAGCTGCAGCTGCTTATTATTAACATAACGGTTAAATTTAGCACGGCGGCGGCAGCAGCAGCAGTGGCAGACGGATTTTCTTTGTACATGAAGGCAGCAAGCTAGGGACGCTTCTTGCCAACAAGCAAAGAACTAACTCAACCTACGTATGTCTTGGAGTATTGGCTGTTGACAAGAGGCAGCATCAGGCAGTTTCCTTCAAAGAAGGCGTGTGAACCACCAAAAAAAATCTTAGGGCAGGTGATAAACGACCTGGGAGCCTCCAAGTAAGGACGGCCGTAAACCAACATTCAAAGAGCTGCAGCCAGGATGCTGATGGCTGGAATTGCCAGGTCATCGGGCATCACCAGATCCTTACCATTTGGATGCTCTTCAAACTTCGAATGCCCTTGAATGTGTGCAAATATATGGACACTGTTGGCATTGCGGTGAAAAAGAGAATGAAACACATTAACAAGTAGTTTTCGGAGAAACGAGATATGTTCCAATTCACCCGAGGGTCTTTGGTCTTCTTGATGACATCTGGCTCCGTTAGCCTGTTCTCAGGCGGTTTAGGGCGCAGGGCGAGTAGCGGCCTCTCCACTCACAAAGTGGTAAGTACGAAGCAGGAAGGGCTCCTTTGGGGACCTTATCGTAAATTGTCCCAATGCCATATCTTCCACCTATCCTTCTAATTCTAATTTCCCTCCAGAACATGGAATCTCTTGTTTGGGAATCACAAAACTGTACGTCGCATCTCCCCCGGCTAGAGGGCTATGATTTGTCGAAAGAAGGCGCAAGAAGAGAATGGAACAGCATCGAGAGCACGGGCTACCCATCTTTCCAGCGCGCCTTAGGGTGTAAAGGAAAGGCCCCTGATGGGGTGTGAGGCGATAGATTCTCACAGTTGTCCGCAGATGGTCCACTCTGCCAACCCCTATCTACTCCCTGTCTCCTCTTTGAATTCGTAAAATACTTGCAACGCAAGGATTCATAACAATTCACGGCCTGCCTCAGGAGAAGGTTTGTCCGAGAAATCCTTTTCGGGACGCTCAAACCCAATTGTTGGGCAAGCTCACGCAGCTCTTCAAAGCTGACGTCAGCCAGATGTTCATCAAGTCGGCGTCTTTCCTTGGCTGGCACACCTGGACCCCCAATGTAGTCACCCAGAAGAATTCACTTATAATGAAAACAGTTTCCTTACAATTTATACCGTCACTCCTCTAGAAACTGTCCAAATCTTAGCGAGAATGTTGGTTGCCCAAAATTAGGGTTATCTTTTTGGGGGTCCCCAAACGGTTTATTGTGATCACACGGGGTAACCGTAATAACATCATGGCCCCTATTGCCAGTGCCCCCATGCCCAACTTCCGAACAGTTCTCAAATATTATTTGGGGATAATGGAAAAGAAAACGGAAACTGCAATTATGGAGTTATATGAGCCATTGTCTAAACTCCTAGTATCCCCCTTAATATCCCCTATAGTAGTCCCCTATATAATCCCCTATATAACCCCCTTTAAGGAGTTAAGACTATGGCTCATATAGGGCTTGGGGTTTAGGGTTTTAGGGTTAACCTAATTTCCTAAGGTGCTCAAAACTCTGACCTCGCTGCCTCTGGGATGCCCCCTGGCCCAGCACTACTGGCTGTTACTGGTACAGGAGGCGCAGCACTTCGTGCTTCCAGCTAGCCGGGGCACGGTGGAGAACGTGACAAGCCGGAGAACATCAACATAAGCATTACTTGACAGCTGAGACGTGTCATGATCATGAACTTGCGGCCTGAAAGTTGGGACGAAAGCAAGAACTGCAAGGACAGTGAAGAACCCTAAGGCCCCAAGTCAGAACCACAGTGACCATCCAGCTAATGTTTGCGGAGAAGTTGACACTTTCATATAGCAGGCTAAGCGTTCTGACCACATCAACACAACCAAGCCAGACGAAACGCGGTTGACCATCCCGGACAAACGTACATGTGGCCAAACCGTTAGTGTGTGATACCACATGCTCCATGCAGTCTCCTTCACGGTATGGCGGTCTCATTCATGGAACTGAAGGACTTTGCTAAGACCCCTCAACCCTGAATCATGCATCCTAAACCCTTACAGCCTCAGAAATTCCGAGATGCGACTTCCGTAAGCCCGGTTCCACCGGCACTCGGCTGAGGGGCCTGGCTGTGTATCGGGCGCTTCGCGGCGCTTGGGTAGCCGCCAAGAGGAAAAGTGACATGCACAAGGCAAATGAGATGCACAATCATTAAGAAGATTTCTGCCAAAAAGGAGGGGGTGGCAGCGGACTCGCAGCATGACGGCCCTCTTTGCGAAAGTCAAAACAGGCATAATTGAGGAACACATTTTCTTTTTATGTGTAGCAAAATTCCCCCCAAAAAAATTGTCTACAACTACAAAAATGGAACTATAGAGAACAAGGGATCCTCTCACTCAAGCTCCATTAAAAATTCCTGCGGCCAAAGAAGTTTGTAGGGGTTGTAGGGCTTAGAACTTTTAGGGTTTAGGCTCTCTCCATGTATGCATAGGACTACCATGATGGTGCACAAGGACTGTGCAGTAAATTATGGACATCACATTTCAACTCAAACGTGGCTGCCTGGAGTCTGGGGCTACGTAGGTGTAGCACACGACGGCGCTGTGTGCGAAGTTGAGAATTCTATGCCATTTGCTCAGGCCCAGGCTCTGGTATGCTTTTGTTTAAGCAACGATACTGCCACTGAATCTGCTATTACACGGCCCATGTGGGATCGCGTCCAGAAAACACAGGTTTTGGGTTCTTTACCTTACTATGTCATGGGCCCGAGGGTCTAGGGACGGGCCAGGTCGGCAAAAAGGCGCTGGTCCTCGTCCTAGTCTGGCTTAACTTCTGTTGCCTAGAATCATGAACCGTTGGTAGCTCACAACCGTGTGACATAGCAGTACCTGGATATCCTGTGAATAGTAGATACTAAGTGGCAGATACGAGGATTGGAAATGGGTTCTGTCAGCAGCGCAAGACAACTCTGCCTGCTTGGGCTGTGCACCACGAGCTGTATCCCGTAGTCTCAGGTAAGCCAAGCCTCCACACAAACTTTGGGTGGAAGCTTTCGGGAAGACGGCTTCTTGATTGACGGTCTCAGCACAGAGCTCTAATTGCGGCAGCGCGGCAGCGGTTGTTCAGTACGAGTCAGGGCAGATGTTTCGTGTTTCTGTCAGAAAGGCCTCACGTAGGCCAAGGATTGCTAAACATCTGTTCTGCAACGACCTCTATATCATGAATACTTCTATCATCAATGCCTGGAGGCATAGGCGAGGGGGTCTTATGAATCAGGGGTCTACAGTCAAGCAGTTCATGTGCCTAGACCTAAACCCTAATCATCTCTGGCGCCTGCTGCGGCAGCGGCCAACGGTCTAAGTTCCGCAGCTCCCCACAGACCATGCGCTCCGTCGAAGCCTGCTCAAGGGTTTAGGAGCCGTCGCGTCGGGGTGCATCATATCAAGAGACGGGTTCTCTCAGGCCCCTAGGGATATATGGGGGCCCAATATCCTGCTTCTGAAGCACACATCGTTACCCGCCAAAGGGGTATCTGCTTCGGGACAAGTTGATAGGCATCCTGCTTCTGACACCGTACCACATCTATATCATGAATCTTATTTAAGGGGGTCAAAGAAAAATGGCGGGTCTGCAATCGCCGTGTACACGGGGAATTGGAAGGAGCTCTGGAGAGAAGCTAGGACAACTAGGAGACAATCCCAGGTGTTGACTTGCTGTATGGTTTGCAGAAGTCTTTGAACTTTGCTCGGGTATTGTGGCAGGGGCGAATCCTGGGGGTCATCTTCTGATGTCATAGCACGGTAATAATGTGTGAAGGTTCCAGGGTTGTACCCTTAGGGTTGCACGCCTAAAAGTTGTCCCCCAAAACAAGCCTGAAACCCTTGATAGTTAGCATCAACGTATGCGCGATTGGTGCGCTTGAGTTGAGATTTACCTAGAGACTCCCATGCATATGCATCAGGTTTGACATGCTCGCTAATCCCTGTAAACCACACTGCATAATGGAGAATATTCCGAAACGCCTATACAATTTCTATATAGCCCCACCCAAACCCTAAACCCGTAAAGCGTAGTATGTTTCCCGTCTTGATGGTTGCGATGTGGTCATTTGCTACAGCCTCAATGTACATTATTGGTTCTCTGCCCGTACCAGTCTACCCTAGTGTTGTCAACTGCTGCTCTAGATGCAGGTCGAAATTCACCCTCAGACTTTAATCTAACGGGCTGAAGTCAAAGAATTGCAGGAAATTCTCATGAACGCAAACCCCTTTACACAACAATGCCCAGGCTCAATTCGATGACCGGCCTAAGACACGGGGGTAGGGGGATTGAAAAATCTACAATCAGGCCTGGGGCCATTTGCGGGATACTGCCATGGTGTACACATGTACCAACATGTACGATGATATGCCAAGCTCCCAAAATCGCAGACAGCCGTGGAATATTCATTGCTTGCGTTCATGGTGATCTGCTCTCTCATTTTCTAGAGTCCGCAATACTATACATACAAGGCGAATTCCTTGCTTCACGGCCAACTTCCCCAGGTGGGTGTTGATGATCTCTACCCGTCTGTGCATCCTTTACCTGCCTGAATGTCATCAGTACCTACGACCAACCCGAACCCACCTTATTCCCAGCTTGAGCTGGCTATGACGGACCACGCAACTGGCAAACAGCCATGAAGGGGTTTGCGGATAGAGCGCCTTCAGCATATTTAGCTCAGTTTGCAATAGCTCTGTTTCCAAGCTGCCAACGTTCTCTTGCCCAGTAGTGAATATTTCGCACAGCATGCCGAAGAAGAAAAAAATGGACCACAATAGTTTTACGAGATCATCTTCATTGTTTATTAAGAAGCACAATTTCTGTCAATTTTGGAGACACAATCTGGCCATGTTGTTGCTAGGCCGCTAGGCAATCGTCAAAGGATCACCTTAAAGCAATCCTAACAAAGAAGCCTATGTGCAGCCGAATATGCCCCCAGTAATGCTAACCCTTCCAGGGCTCACACGGGCTGTAATCTAAACTCCTTACAGGGAGGTTATGAGGGGAGTAGTGCAGGGGTTAACAAGGGGTATACTAGGAGTTTAGATTATAGCTCACATATATGCATTCCTAAACCCTGAACCCTTAACCGCACAACATACCCTAAACCCTTTTTTTGAACCCAGACTCGGTCGATCAGCTGGGAAGCAGCACATACCCTAAACCCTAAACCGCACAACAGTATCCAAAACATGCCTTCAAGCCTTCCCCTGGAGTTGCCAAGGCGCTGGGAAGCCAAGGCCCAGGGCTCAAATGGCTCAGAAATGGGCTTGGCTCCGGTAGCTGCATGGCACTGACGCTTTGGTGCTATAAGGAACAACTTAGGGGTTTATAAGGCACATATGAGCTATAGTCTAAACTCCTTATAGGGGGGTTGTAAAGGGGATTATATAGGGGACTACTATGGGGGTTATGAAGGGGGATACTAGGAGTTTAGACAGTAGCTCATATGTACACATGTGTATATGTATCTACACTATGAGAAGATATATAAGGAGTAAGGCTTACATACGGTGCCTACATGGTAGCTGCCATCCAGCAAGAATCTGATGACGTGAAGGTTCCTCAAGATCATCAACCTCCTGTAATAGGAATCCCGTTTGGAAGCGTATTTGAGTCGTAAACTAAAACAATTTGATTAGTGAGAAATGCCTGCGAGGTTAAAACGGAAATTACGGTCTGACTGCAGCTGCTAGAGGTCCTTGAATCTGCATATGTTGCCATGGCTGCGACATAAATCTGGATTCAAACGCGTGCAAGGCCAACTGACCCTTCAGATCACAGCGACTTGGATAGTGCTTGCCGGTTTTGCAACAAAGTGTGACTGAGCTTCAGAAACAAGATTCTTTAAGTTTGGGCCTGCTTCTCTGAAGCACGTTGCTCGCACAAAATAACCTACTTACTAGATGCGAAGGAGGCTCCTCTTGCGTATCCATTGGTTTCATGACCAATAGCAATCTTCCCAAGCCCCTGAATTCACCACCTTACAAGCTGCCGGCTTCAGAGCTCAAACATGGGGGCTTCCCAACAAACCTGGGGTCCCTGGAGTATGGACTCCGGTATTTTAGGGCCTATTTGGGGACCTCGTATGTATGGAAACTACGTACCAAGTAGGCTGGCGCCTGTATCAGATCCTCTCCAATGAGCCTGTAGAGGACCTTGGTTGCGGCAGGCTCCTCGGGCTTTTCGGGCCAAGCATCACGGCATCCCCAAGGTCGTGCAAAGGCATCCAAGCAACCTGAACTTAAGCCTTCCTGCCAGTCACTGATCGACTGCTGGTACTTGAAGCTTGACCTAACCTGGCTGTTCGGACGCAGCTATACCGTCTACACCAATTGTGCTTGCAACCACAAAGCCCTCCATGTAAGCCTCTTCCAGAAGGAAACAGGACCAATCACGTCCCAAGAGCAGTGTGCATGGGGCTTGGGGAGGCCGTGATATGTTTTTTTGCCCTTTTGCTCTCAACAAGAGATTCCGTATCCCTTCACTTTCAGAAAAACATTGTAGTGTCTGTAGTGTCCAAATAAGAGATATCCTCATACAGACCCCAAAATGCTGAAGTCCTCATTATGAGGACCCCCAAAAAGGGGTCCCAAGATACCTATACTATAAACTACTGTACACTGGACAATATTCCTAAACACCTATACTAATCCCCACATAAACCCTATATAGCCCCACCCAAACCCTAAACCATCCTAAACCCTAAACCTTGGACCCTAAACCCTAATCCCTAAACCCTGGACCCTAAACCCTAATCCCTAAACCCTGAACCCTAAACCCCTAATCCCTGAACCCTGGACCCTAAACCCTATCCGTCTGGAGCTAAGTCTGCCACGGTCTTCTGGTCCGTCGTCGGCCGGAAGGCCCGAATTTGATCCTGCGAGGCCATTACTCCCTAGCATAAAGGACACCATACCCCATCATAAAATATTGCTTCATAAAATATTGCCTGTACTGTTATTACTCCTCTTTCCTAGTATTATGATTTATTACTGGTGTTGTTCTTAATATCAGTATCGTATTGCTACAATCTATGGTAGTATTGAATTATCTTCACAGTCTTATCAAATATGTTGCTACCTCTCCCCCCGCTGCACCCTCTGCCCCGAATAAACTGTCAAGCGTCGTCCCGAATATTCTGGAGCCTCTGGAAACGGGGCAAAACATAATAGAAACAGGGGTTGGTACGGGCTGTGTGAGTTTGAATGTCTGAGGGGGAGGCGGGGAGGTGTTGCTTGGTTTAGGGCCTATGGTTTAAATGGGTTTAAGATGTAGCCCCACTGTCCACCCCAAAACCAAGAGTCCTTACAACAAGGCCTCCCAATATGGGACATTTTTTTGGGGGAAGCCACCACGTGCAGGGCACTTAATGCCACCATGTTCTTGGGGGGACAAAGACGTGTGGAGCCAGCATGGTTCGAGGTTCATGGATTTTGCAAAGTGGTAGTTTCCATAAATAGGGGGAACGCAATATAGACCCCAAACTACTATAATCAATTTTATTGAGACCCCAAAATGGTACCCATAATTTGAGAAACCCCCAAGTAGGGTGATACAATTGTACGCGCCCTAACTTGCGTTATAAGTGGTTTTGGCTATGCCATACTTGGACCAAATCATAAAGAGTCGCAAGGCCGTCTCGCTGAGACCGGTTAAAGACAACGATGCCCGTCGCTCAACAGAAACATAGAATGAGTAAAGGCCGCTGCCTGCATCCAGGACGGGTTTTGTTAAAGGATGCTAGAGAATGACCTCGCGGCGACTCCAATCTTCAATCTTCCCACACTCCGATCGATTTCTAGTTGGTGTTGCTCTGCACGGAGGCAAATGGACAGACAGAAGATAGGAAGATAGACGGCCAAGCAGCCCTTGGACAGGCAAGCTTGTTGTCAGCAAAATCAAAATGTAAAGCCATCAAACAAAGCAGAGCCTTCCTGTAGCATCCTGACATGCCAAAGACGGGCTGGTGGTAGAGGCTGAGGACAAGGATCAAAAGCAGTAGCTGTTCACAAGCAGCCTTATGTGTGACGACTCCAGGAAGCCTGGATAAGGAGCTTTAGTACGGCTGGCCTGTTGCCATCTGCAGGGCTCAAGTCCGACTCAGTGAATGGCTGAAAGATTAAACCGGCAACAGCAGCAGCGGCAGCAGCAGCAGCACCACCACCACCACCACCACCACCACCATCATCATCATCATCATCGTCAGCATCAGCACTACTACCCAGCACTACCACAACGACAGCGGCCGACATGTGCCATGATGCTATGTCTGTGTGTATTACCAACTGCAATTGGTCATGCGGTCATTTCAGCCTGGTGTAGCTTTTCTACTGTACTGGTCATGCATAGAAAGGTCGGGAAGCCACATGCAAATTATTTTTGGCAATTTCTACCGCAGGAGTCGTGCAATCTCCTGATGCGGAATGCCCAGCTTACGCCAGGGTAGCTGTTTGAGTGTCTCCCAACATGACACAACTGCAGATAGAAAAGGGGATAGCCAGCTACGTCAATGCTAGGTATGCCAATCCCACTCCGCAAGTCACACTACAGCAGTCAGCCTCCAGGTAAATGCCGCCCCTTGCTCTCCAAGGCTCCAGCGCCTGCCACAGCATAAAGTATGGTGTACGAGGACACCCCGCAGATGCACTACACCTGTATCCCAAGATATTTCAAGGAAACCTCTGCACATGCAAGTACATGTATACGCACACAGTCACACTGACTCTTGTAAGGCTTGGGAGCCTCCCCCTCAGGAGGTTGTGATGCAAGGGCCGAAGGGCCAGGGTCTTGAGGTTCAGACTCTGAAATTTGGGATGACGTGCAGCTCAAAGCTGCAGTTTCCACCCTAGCTACATTGGATAGAATTGCTTCTAATTACATTTGGCCGTAGCTCAGCTGTTGGCGGAAGTTCCCTGCTATAATGTATCAAGTCCCTGCTGCCGGCCGCCTGTTGAATGGGGGCGAAGAAGTTGCAATTCCCGGAGGACGTCCTTGCGAAGCGCACCACGCAGCGATGGTCTTCATCCTCCTGGCAAGGTGAAGCCAGCTCATGTGGTCCCACCTAACAAACCTTGCCATACCAGGTTGGGAAAAAGTCAAATGCAAAATATCCAGATAATGAGCTTGTGATACACGCACTTACATTGCAAGACTTCAGGCTGCGTAGCATTCATGGAAAGATGAATATGTTTGCTGACCACCAGGTTTTGAGGTTTGCACAAAATCGCAGCAACAGACTTCTATGCCCGAACGAGCTGGGGTGGACCTACCCGGCAAGATGCTGAGAAGCCCGGTTCACTCAGATTCCTCTCCTCGGCTTCCTGCTCGGAGCCCTCCGGCTCGGGGTGCTCCAACTTCTCGCCACGGCCCAGGTGGATCAGGAGCTGGTAGGCAGAGCACACACGCGCGGCTGTGAGCAGTAAGGGGTGACCGGCCACAGCTGACAGCATGTCCCAAATGCCAGACTGTGCTTCGGCCACCCTGATGAGCCCTTCACTCTCAGCGTCGTAAACGGGAAGTCTTATCCAAACCATAGCCAACAGCGCAGCTGAAGCCAGAAGCTGGCACCTCTGAGCCTCCTCACTAGCAATGAAAGCCCAACTGGCAGCCATGAGGCCTACCTCGTCTGTGTTTGGTCTGTGGAGAAGCCTATCCTGCAGCTTCCAGGCATAGCCGTCAGAGTCGATGCATGGATCATGTTTTGGATGCTGAGGGCTTTGTACCATGCACCGGTACAGGAGGTATAGGAGCTGGAACACAGGCCAGCCGGATCGCACCAGGGCGTTCCAGCCAAGGGCCTGCATAACATGGAGGTCACGACCCAGGAGCTCCTCCGCCTCCTCCAGGCTGCGGCTGGCAGCTGTGGGCAAGGCTTCGGCAAGATGCAACGCAACATGCCCCAGGGGACACTCGCTGCGAGGTGCTTCCGAGTCTTCTAGCTGCGATCGGTAGTCGTCCAGAAGCAAGGCAATGTCCCCCAACATTAGCGCCAGGTCCCGGTTGGAGGCAGCTGGTGCGCTCGAGACGCGGTACAGACGACCTCGAAATCGATGCCATGCCCCCTGGCACTCCAAGATTTCATGCACGGACCAGGCAGGAAGTATCTGGTTCGTGAGTAGCGACACCCACGCAGCTGCCAGCATCGTGGCAGCCTCCCTGCATCATGACCATGGTGTCATGGCTTTGGCATCATAAGTGGTTGAATTTCGTGGAGCTCCGTGGGTGCTGGAAGTGGCAAAGTGCTTCATGAATTCTTGCTCAGCTTGGTTTGGCACCTGTTAATACCGTCTTGGACTTGCCGATGTAGAGGTGAAGCGGGCCTTCCTCAAAATTTCCCTTTCTAAGAGGGTCCCAGAATCTCATGACTATCCCCTTTGCGTAGGGTCCTCAGAGTACTAGGAATCTACATGCTGCAGCTGTATCTTGACTTAACGACACATACAGCAATGACACTAAGCCCACTAAAGAGACGTGGTGGCAATACTCATGGTACTAGCCACTAGCCATCCCCTGACGGGCACAACTCAGTTTGGGCATGCTGCCTCGAGCTGTTCAAAAATTCAGCGTGGTCTCCCCCCTGCTGGTAAAAGCACATTCTCCCGGCAGCTGGCTTGGCGAGCGCTTGCTGCCAACCGAACCCCAACAAAAGGGGCAGCGACTTGGCTTGCCCACTCGGGCTATGCACCTTCCTGAGAGCGAAGCCGCGCAGCCGCTTTGGACAAACTCGAGCTGGTACGGCCTCACCACACACTTCAAATGCTCAGTCGAGATGAGTTGGCAATAACGAGCTTAACCCAGAGTCGTCGTCCTACAACCTACCAACCGACCCATGAAGTCAAAACAATCAGCCGGCTCAACTCTGGGAGAACCGTGAGGGCGGCGCCGAGGGAGCCGGGTGAGGAAGACCGCCTCCATAACCGGTGGCCGCTGATTCTGCTGGTAATAGCCCAGGAGCTTCCTCCGGACAAGTTGAGTGTCGCGAATTAAGGCTTGCTTGCAGCCTCCCCATTACGGTTCAGGTCTGCTTAGTATGGTCGGCGGTCGATGTGATCCTACAGAAATTTGACGGCACACTCCAGTCTGAGTTGTTCTCGAATGGTGGTTTCGAGATTCACCAAAACCAGGAATGGACAAGCCTGCCTTGCGATGATGTTGGGATATTGGGGAGGGGGGATATGCAAAATGGTGGGTTGCCCTAAACCCTTAACCCTTGTCGGGAAGGGGGGGGGGGGGACAATGCAAAATGATGGGTAGACATAAGTGAGGCTATGCAAAGCCTCAAAGTAGCCAGTCAAGGCAAAGCTGCGAGCAATGGTGGCAGGAATACCGGAATACAGGAGTTATAGTCTAAACTCCTAATATCCCCCTTCATAACCCCTATAGTAGTCCCGTAATATAACCCCTTGAAGGAGTTTAGACTATAGAATACATGAGCATTGCAGGTTGCTATTTAGGAGTTTCTACGTATCATCCTCGTATAAGCCTTCAGAAGGGCGCTACCCTGCCCCCACCCCCTTGTAAGCCTTCTTTCCCCTTCTGTTTTGTGTCACTCTCTTTGCTCAGTGCGATCTGCGTTGGGCACTGCTCCGAGGTTGCGAGGCTAACCAGCGAGCCACTATAATCCCCCTGTGTCCACGAAGCCCAAAGGGGTTCCGCTAATCTGAGAAACTTCCCGTTCTGCCAAGCTGAGGACCTGCTTCGATTGCTATCCATTACCGCCTCAGAAAGCGTGACCTGAATCAGCTAGAGCACTAATAAATAAGGAGGGAAATTCAAACCCAGATTCAGATTTAGACTAACATTTGACTACAAAGCCGCATGCCAACAGGGACCCTTTGCGTTTTTCCTCCGAAGCAAATTTAGCTGTGCCCTTTCAAGCCCTAGTCAGGCAGCAATACAAACATGGATATCACGGATATGACCAGGCTCAGTACTGCCGGCCTCTGGAAATGTCCAACCTGACATCCCCCGGCTAGGGGAAAGGGCCGGGTCTTCGCAACGGTAGCGGTCTTAGAGGTCCCATGAATGACCCTGACGCAACGCGGGCGCTTTCATGCTAAAAAATGAGGTTACCCTTCAGGAAACTCTTGCACTCAACTGCTGCCAGAGCTTTGAAGATGCCTTCCGAATTCGGACAGCCTCTGCATTCAGAAGTCTCTTGGCCTCCAAGGCCAGTTCACTAAGGAGCCGGCAGAGAAGGCATAGTTATGGACGCAGGATGCCTGACACTTGGATTCTTTAACCAGTCTCCTTCCAATGGTCATCCCAGAACATACCCCAAGCCCTAACAGGCTGGAGTCCAGAATCTGGTCTACATCACAGAGACAACTGAACTGCTCGGAATATTCACTGCATTCCGTTTACGCGTTGGCCTCTCTTGCGTGCCACCAAAAATGGCTTGAATAGCAAACTGCTGCGAAGGCAGCTCCCCCACAAGGGATTGTGTATGGGTTATACAGGGAGAATGGAAGAGAAAATGGTAAGTACTAGATTGTGTAGGCCATGTACTGGGATCACAAATAGTGCGTTTCTAGCTGGACGGCCTCCGTGGTGTTGTCGCACCACGAGAAGGAGTACCTCCAGCTCGGATGTTCTCGGTCAAGTTCTTAGCCCCTGAAAAGTGCATGGCAAACCTTGTATCAACGACAACAGCTCATGAGAAAGAGGGCCCCTTCCGCCCTGTGCTTCAGTCAGGGCAAGCTTCATCGAGGGCAAAAATTCGCTTTCAGGACTCTAATATATTGGGGTTACTTAGGGGTTATATAGGGATAATGGAAAAGGAAATGGAGACTACTATGGTATAGTATATTATGGTGTATCAAAATATAGCAATGCACCTATAGTGGCAAGAACAAGGCTCTTGTATGCAAACTTTTGGCAGGCTGCCGGCGCAACTTCATCAACTTCAAACAAAGCACTGATGCCAACTGCAAGTTCCACCAGACCTGCTTGCGACTGGCAACACAGCGGGAACCCCCCAAATCTTGCCACTTTAGCTTACAGTCCCAACATCTGTGATGACGGGCACTCGGGGTAGCAAGTAAATGCCCAAGATGGGGAGAGAAGCGCGGCTGCACCTCAGCGAGGGCCACAAAAGTGTGAGGGAGCGTAAAAAGAATTATGCGTATGTGGCGTAATTCATATGCTATAGTTCCAGACATGCCAACCTATTCTGCTGACCAACAAGGCTGACCACCACAAGACAAACCTGACCGCAACAGACCAGGAACTTACTGGTTCTGAGTAGGGAATAAGGGAATATAATCCCTATGTAATTAATACCTATGTAGTATTTCCTTTATTCCTACGAAGAACCAGTAAGAGAAAGCAGCCTGCACTGCTATGTACAGCTTGAGAGCCAGGCCCAGGAAGCACCACCACGAAGTCTGGCCGCCCCACGGTGCACCTGAACTCAATCTGCTCGGATCAAATGGCACCCGGCCTGTCCAAAAGCTGGATGGTGCAGTCTCTTAAACTGAAGGCTGGCACATTGGGACATGATCTCCCCTGCAGCTTCATGGGGACGCCATCACTTCACAACAACAGGCATGTGTTGCTGAAGTCTGCAGCAGATTACGTGACATGAGAGTCATAGAGCTTCAAGCCATGTGGAGTCTCTCAGTATCTCAATCGATGACGAATGGCTACATGTAGCAATCTGCGGGATCTCTTAAATAGGCGTGACGAGGAAGGATCGCATTGAAAGATAGGAAGTGTAAGCAGCAAAAAATGAGTGCATGCTTGCACCGTTCTCATCATGTGCTGCCAGCAAACGAGCCACAAGGCATTCGTGCCGCCAAGCGAAACATTACCTGGCTGACTATTGGAGCATACCCAAGATCCTGCACAATGATATGTAAGTGGGCGTGACGCCATTGTTTTGGCTCTAAACAGCGGACCTTTTCATGGTTACAACTCACATGGCCAAGGATCCTGAAGCTGCTCCAGCTCGCTGGGGCCCTTTTGCAACTGGGCTGGGCGCCCTCAAATGGATACCTTTGAATGCTAGTTGCTAGTCAGCTTCGCTATGCCGTAGACAGCTCCACGGCTCGAAACCAAGCAAACAGCCATCATGCCAACGCTAGATTCATAATTTCTCGCCTGGGACCTCAAGATCTCCAGCTGCACTTCGTGCCCTAGCGGCCCTTAGCGAACCCAGAACAATCTGCAAACCGAAAGGCAGAGCCCCTTCGTCCTAGATCCCGATGCCTATCTGGGCCCTGCGTTGACCGAGCTCCCTTTTTTACCTAGTTTGTCTGTAACCCACACTTTACTCCCGCAACTCCCGTAGAACTCTTAAGTAATCATGACCATCGTCCCAACCCCGCCAGCATCAGCAGTCTCGCAACAAGACTAGGAGCTTGGCTCTTGACCCGCCGTGATCCTACCAGATTCTGCAACCTCTTCGCAAAGACTTGCTTGACTGCTTGACGTCAAAGAATCGCTGAAACCCTTTTACACTTGGGACTGCGTGGATGCCAGGACAAAGGTAGGGCGGCTGTGGTGCATTTGGATGGGCTTCAACCCCCCAAACAGTAATGCCAAACCAATACACACTCAAAACCCCAACCCCCCAAACCCTGCGCACTCCTTCTTTGGACATGAGCCAGCTCGCAGCTCACTGCCCCTCTGCAACGAGATGCTCAGCAATTGCAACGCAGACCTCCAGGCTCTCGCTGGTTCATGGGCTCAAGGCAGAAGCTAACCGAAACAAACATGGAAATCAAATGGAAACTGGGATTATAGAGGGCTTGTTTGCACAGCTCCGGTAGTTTGGGGATTGGGGCTTAAAATTTACCTGTAGCATTTGACTACTAAGTACCCCCCGGGATAACCCGTAAAGTCGGAGGGGACTGGGGTTGCATTTGCACAGCATAAGGTCTTCTTTACGATGGTATGGAACGCAGGGGTCTGGAACGGAATTCGGGGACTTGTTCCGGACCTCTGGATCGAGGTCTGGATCAGGATGTCCGCTTCCCCTTGTTCTGGACCAATCATGAATGAGCGGTAGCCACATAGATAAGCCGGATGTCCATACTAAGATTCCTAATGCGCAAAGGGTCCTGTGCTTTTCGGGCCCCGGCTTTTTGACTGTCATGGGTCAACACATGCAGGGGAATCTGTACTTGAGACTGGAGACTCA